ACTTTGCCGGAGGCCCGGCCTGAGCCACGGCCATGTGGGACATGGCCAAAATGCCACGTGACGTGACGTCCAAATCTCTTGAAAATGCCCCGAGGGAATCCCACTCGAAAGTGGGATAACTCCAAACCACGGGAAAAACATCTGCAAACCAATACTCTCCGTGGCAACATAGCTCCACAAGCCCCGGCTCCGCCGTGGTGAGCGTTTTGCTTCAAACAACTCCCCTGGAGCGTTTCGCTTGAGCTACAGAACAGCCCCCTGGCCTGAAGCCCAAGGCTTAGCCATCCGGTTCCTGGGGCGACCTGTGACGGTTTCGTTGAAGGTCCTGAGGGAAACCCGGAGATGAGAAATCGCAGATTACCACTAGAGCGACATGAACTGACCATAGACTGCACTGTCCGTTCAACTGGTTCGCACTTGCAACCAGTGTGACCCGAAAACAGAAGAATTGGAGACCGGGAGCACTTTTCGTGGGTCCCGAATCCACCAAACAACCAGAGAGAAGGGTACCACTTCAAAAGCTTTGTGGGACCAGAGAAATCACTGGATGGCCCCTTCAAACGATGATCAATTCACTGGTGTCCCTTGGAGCTGCCGCTTCTGGAGCCAAAAAGGGAGATCTGGCGGCCAAAACCCTAGCAGTGAGCCGGGAAGGAAGCCGGACAGCTTTCGATCGTCAGCTCCTCACGGTGGCGAAGCTCTGCTCTTCCAGGATCAGCTCCTTTGGCCTGATGTCCTGTCGATCGCATGAAAACCATCAGGGGGGCCCTTTAAATGGCTATGCTGTTTCAAGTCAGAAGCGCGCGTGTATTCGAGTCACTCGTCCCCTCGTCCCCTCACTCGCGCGTCCCCTCGCGCGCTCGCACAGTCTACTCGCACACTGCACCCACACGCACTCGTCAAAATGCCACTCGCTCACTTGGCAAATTGTCTCAAACACCTGTTTACAGCTGCTTGGATCCTGCAAACTAAGTTTATATCTAGGCTGTCCTCACATCCCCTGCTAACAGTGACTAACTTTTAGTGGGTTGAATGGAAACCCAACCACTAAACCAACTAAAAACTGCTAAGAAGCTAAGGAACCAGACAATTCGCTGGGAGCCACCAAGATATGTAAAAACATTTGGTATGGTTGGCGAAATTCCTCTAACCCGCCCCGAGACATCCAGTAGCCATTCGTTCTGCATGGGCGTCCTCCAATTGTTGCGCTGCTTAAAGCAGGGTACTTAGGTGGGTAACAACCATGGTGAGATAACCCAGGGTTGCAAGGCTCCGTTCAGTGGGTTTTGACCATGGTTGTTACCTAAGTACCGGAACGCCCGGTCTGGGCTTTCCAAGTTCAGCTCGCCTTGCTCACCACTCCCTCTCGCTGCCGCTCTCCTTGGTCGCCACCATGCTGCGGCGGCCTCCGGAGCGGTAGCGACCCTAGAAAGAGGTTCCGAAATCTTGGCTTCCGAACCAAAAGGAGGGTTGTACCCTCCCACCGACTGGAAGTGCACAGCCCCCTGTAGAAAGACTATTGTCCTCTGGAGAGGGGGTTTCTACACTTCCATGTTGGGTGGCAGGGCAACTTGACCAGAATTTCTGAGATGTGTCTTCCCGCATTGTCATGCTCATGCAAACCCTTGATTTCAGCATTTGCGTTCGCTTTCTCTGCAACCAAAAGGCCACAAGGTGGCTGATCCATAGAGGGCTGTCCCTAGCTCCACCTAATCATCCACCAGCTTGACTCACGCGGTGTTGACCGCACACTCTTCTCAACTAAAACGGAAGTGCCTAGACTCACTTTCCCAAAAAATAGGAGTCGCCCAAAAGGGGTCGATGTCGGTGGGAGTGTATTTACCTTCCGAAATCATATCTGAGGAGGTACTAGAGTGGAAGGAAGCCACTCTCAAAGGTGTGCTAGATGGAAATGGACTCCCACTTGTGCGTTGCTCTTCGTCTCGACCGTCAAGCCTGGCAAATGACCGTTTCACCAGTGAGCAACCAGAATCCCGGCGCTTTGCAGATTGGTTGGAGCAGTCGAACGAGCTTCAAGCCATAAGGGGTACATGAGCCCGGAGACGTCCAGTTGCGAAAGGCTCACACCTGTTCAGCCACAAAACTGCCACTCTCCACCACCTGATGCTTGAGTGCTCGTTTCATACGGACCCACTGTGTTCTGGTTTGAGACCATGTTCACTAAATTTAAGAAACTGTTTTTCATAGAGATCCCTTACGTTCGACTGGCGAAACATGACTCACCCAGAGCTATGGACCTTGAAATTGAAGCAACGGAAAGCACCAAGCTTGGTTGACACCCGAGGTGTTCAACGTGTATTCATCCAACTAAGTCTTGTAACCTTGCAAAGCCACCAACTGCTTCAAATTCCAATTGGATTGTCTTCCCTGTTTCCGTGGACATGTCCAGCCCTAGACTGCCAGTCATACGGCCAGTTGCTTCTGCAATCTGAACCAGGGCCGGTGAGCGTGACTCCAACGCGGACTCTGTCCACTCCCCACCACTTGGATCATTTTGGTTGACCAAAATCTCCATCCACTTCAAGAGGGTGGAGGTCTCGAGGGTCCAAAAAGCACGATCAATGTCATTGTTGAACTGTGGGTTATGGTCATAGTTCCTGTACCAGGAATGTATTAGTAGAAGTAGGAATCGGTGCCCTAAAAATGGTTCCTTTCTTGTTGGCGTCCCTTCCAAAAATAACAACCAAATGGGTCCACCATGCATGGCTCCAGAATGTGTCCTTTTCTAGGTTTTCCAGTAGAGAGGTGAGAGTAAGGGTGCCCTTTTTTTTCTGTAGTCTATTTTAGTAGGGGAACCCTCCCCCAAAAAAGGGGTGAGAAAGGGCACTACTGCAGGGAGTTTACTCACTCCCCAAAAAGTGGCCGCAGTCCAGGAACCTTCTTGGAGTAAGTCTTGCAAGCCTGAAGATCAATGTGTAACATTCCTGATGACATAAGTCAAGGTCAAACTGTGGATGGAGGAAAATCCTGCACCACCTGTTGAAGCCATGGGAAACCATTGGTTGTTGGTATGTGCAGGGGAATCATCATTCCAGAGTTCCTGAGGTGGTGCCGGATGTCGTCCATCCACAGTATGAGTATGTTCCTTTCTTGGGAACTCCTTCTTCTTGAGTTTCAAGGGAAGCCGAAATCCAGTTGCCCATTGGCCCTGGCAAAGAGGGAACCTTTCTTGGGGTTGAGCCTTTTTAGCGGGGAGCCCACTCTCAGGGGAAGACGGGTGCTGCATTGGGACACACACACAAAGCGCCCCCCACCCCGGCGGATTTCCTGTGCGCCACGCGCCATGCGCCCGCCTTCCAGCTCCACGATCTTGAAGCTCTCCATGTCCGTCGGCCAACCAAGCGCACGTGCGTCAGCGGAGGATTGCAGCAATCCACCGCGAAAGAGGAAGGTGACTTGGTACCCGGGTAGTAGTTGATCTAAATCCTAAAGGGAACAGAACAGGAGGTTGCAGGGGGTGTGGAGTTGGTAGCCTTTTCGGAGGAGGGGCCGATTGTGTCTCTCCTGAGTTAAGCCCGTTTTGTGGAGTTGGTACCCTTTCCGGGTTGCTCAAAAAGGGAAAGCCCAAGGAAGACCACCAGTTTGGGGGTCCGGACACCGACTTTGATACCTAAGTCTCTCCGTTCCTACGGTTGGGCAGTGGATGGGATAGTTGTTCGGTTGCCCTTTATCCGCATCCAAAGGTTCCAACTGCGGCATCTTCTTCAGGGTTGCCGCTTCCCCCTTCAACTCGGCCAACACGCGCCTGCGGATTTGCGGAAACGAAGGCAGCTCTTGCTTGGGCGCTGATCTGAAAGGCGTTCCCCCAGGTGTCGAGTTATCCTAGGGATTCTGCAGGGTTAAGAGGAAAGCTGAACCTGGCGGAAACTGGGCTGTAGCTGTCACTTGTAGGCCAAAATAAGTCTGAACTTGTTACCACTCAAATGGACTTAGCTCCGGAAACTGCTAGGTGAGCCGATAGATCTAGTTTGCTCCCGCTTCTCATCTGAGCCGCTTTGTCTCTTCCGCCTTGCTTGTCCAAAGAGCCGGCCAAGCGGCCACGCGATCTTGCGAGCAGAGTTGCGCAAAACGAGACACGTGGAGCCCGGGCTTGGCGATACAATAACAAATGGCGACGCCTCTTGGTTCGTAAGGCAAAGCAAACCGGAAAAAAACACACTCTGCAACTGTGTGCCTCCCTTTTTTGGAAACGCCCACAATCAGAATCTGGTATTCAATGACCCAATAAAAAGTTGCAAAACTTCCCTAAAACATGTTTGTTCAAATGCTGCTGTCCAAGGAGTTTTTTGGCACCTCTGCCAGCTTCAACATGGGCTCCGGAACCATTTTTGGATGAGTTTGAAGGGAGACCAACTTTAAGGGAAATCCGGCTGGAAGCTTGGCCAATCCCTCCAACTTGGTGTTTCCCACTGGGGTCCTGCAAAGAGTCCCCTTACGTCACTCCAGGGGAATGATGTCAGAATGCGAAAAGGTGATGCTAAACCACTTGTTCGTTAAACCAAAAAAAACACGAGGACATGCTGAGGGTCCTGTGCACTGAAAACCAAATCTGTTCGTTCCAAGCTGGAATCTATTGAATTGCCACAGAACAAAAGCAACCCTACTAGGGCACAATCCAGGCTTCTAGTTGCCGATGCTACAAAGACTCCAAAACCCTGGGCCCCCAAAAAGAGACAGAGTTTTCTGAAGAACAAACACACACACACACACACAAAGTTGTTGGGAACCGAGTTGTGACACGCCCAGGGATTTGTCTCAAAATGGCGAACCCCTCCAAACAAAAACAAAGTCGAGTCGATGCAATTGTCCTTTGACACAACCACACCAGGTCGGCCTGAACAACAGTACTATACGGGCGCCGAGAAGTAGAAATGGGTGGCGAGGTAATTACTTTATCAGTTCAGACATGGTCAAAGCAACATGCTAGCATGCATTTGGGCATGGGATAAAACTAAACCACTTGCCGAAGCCGTCGGAGCCTCGCGGAACGTGGAGGACTGGCTTGTTGCGCTGCCCACGCCACCTCGAGAGAGAGAGGGGCCAAACGTGGCGATTTCGACATCGCGTTGATCCGAAACGTGGCGGCAATTCACATCCAGCAAAGATTGTTGCAACGAGCTGCGCAGCCTCAATCCAAGTCACTTCCAAAAGAAGAGTAGCCACAAAGCTCTAAGCTCCCAGGCAAACATCTGCGAGAACCGTTCAAGAATTGCCCCTGCCGAGTGTCTTGTCAGCAAACTGCTCCTCAGGGTCCGAGTCAGGATCAACAAATTGACAGCTTGATGAATTGAAAGGCCAGCTTGCTCGCAACAACAAAACACGTCGACAGCGCCCAGACAAGATGCATGCAGCACCTCCTTCGTCTCAGGATCGGCAGGAAAGATCCCATGCTGCTCAAATCAACACAGGGTGTCCCTGCGCTGTGCCAAGAGCCGCTCCATTTCGTAAGTCGCCACTGCTATCAGCAGCATCCTTCCCTCCAGAAAGAAACGCGAGCCAAACAATCATCTAAACACTTGCCAAACGCTGTGTGCTCAACAACTGAGAAGACAGCAGTTTCATTTACTGCAAAGGTCTCATAAGTAGAATGTCTTTTGTAGGGTAGTCATTCGCACAGGAACCAATTTGTCAAGTGGTAATGTAGCTCCTCATGCCACGCCCCTGCAACATTACACACAAGCAAAAAGTGGGTAAAATGGCCTTCCCGAGAAAACAAAAAAGGAAAGCGTCCAGAAACTTGCACTCGATCAATTTACGGGAGGGGGGGGGGGGGACGGGGGGGGGCAGTGTGCAACTCCAGGGTTGCATGATGACATATGAGGGTACAC